GACGTCTTAAAGTACTGATCCTGCTGTGTGCGCAGACGAGAAATCAAAACAACAGGTGAGTGTAAGAAAAGTAAAGTAAGAAAGCTATTCTCTGACTTTGATTGACTTAACTGATTAAATATGACTGCGGTTTCTTTACATGTACAGCAAAGTTAGAACTATGATTAAACAATTATAAAAATTTTTAATTTACATTAAATTTAAAACATCATTGCTACTTAAATTAAAAATTAAAAAAAACTCCACTGACAAATGTCTTTTCTATGTATTTTGAATTAACCTGAATGAAACTGAAACCTGAATTTTCCTCCTGTGGCTTTTATTGAAGACAGAAATCAATTAAATCCCAGTCTGATCATTTTACATAAAAAGGAAACATAAAGAGGAAAACCTTCCAGGCATCACAGCCCTGTAACATAATTGAGTTTTCTTTTCTGTTGGAGGAGGACCGACTGATTGGGTTCATTGCAGGCAAACAGCTGTTTGTTGCCACTTCATCTGCTGCTTCTGATGGTCAAAGGTCATGATTAAAGTTCATATATTGTGTCAACCAAACTAATTACAGATTAAATAATTGAATCTCTCTACAGCTCATCATTACAAAAAAATAAAATTCAAAGCATTTTAAGTGAGCAGTGCACTTATTACTGTTCACAATAATAACATTTCACTTTTTAACTTTAATGACTTTGTAAGAAAGAGAAGCAAAAACATAAAAATGTAATTAAAAAAAAAATGCATTGTCATAAAACGCAACTGTGTGTAGACAAAAAAAAAAAATAAAAATCTAGTTTTGAAAAAGTTTATGTCTCTAAATTTGCATAAAATGAGAGCATCGAATTCATTTGCAAAGTTGTATGATAGTATTGTCTCTTCTGAGGGATTGCAGTACCTGCAAGTGACCACATGGAGGCAACTGAGGATAAAAGAGCTGAGTATCATCCTCTCTGCTACTGAGCTGAAGGCACCATCACTGGACTGAAAGTAATGACTGGCTTTAATAACAATAGTTTTAATAACTGGAACTAGATAGATAGATCTTTCTGTGTGTGTGTGTCTCTCTCTCCCGATGATGCATTGACCCGTTATCCTGGCAGCGGCTTCATGACCTTCCCATGGTGCACTGCTTCTCTGCCCCCCCGGGCCAACTCCTCTGCCAGCCTCACTGAACATCATAGAGAGAGTCAGTGGTGCACCCATGGGCTTCACCCGAGCCACGTTAGTCTCCTCACCCTCACCATGTGTGCGTTTATTTTTCAATTTATTTATCATCAGCAGAGTAATTTCATTATCGACAGCAGTGATACAAATCACTGTGAATGTAGCAGAGGAAGCCAAAAGGGTTGTTTTCAACTCTTGATCTTGGATAGATAGTAAACAGGAACTGCAAACAAATTACATAATATAGACAAAGCAAGGCAAATTTATTTTTATAGCGCATCATACACAGAGGTCATTCAGAGTGGTTAACAGAAATAAAAGAAGCCTAATAAGAAAACAGTATAAAACCACAGATTATTAAACAGGTCATATCTAATTAAATTGCAAGATTAAATGAATAAATGAAGGAAGTTCAGAATAGAGCAGTGTTTAGCTTCTTTTTAAAACAGGTTATGGTTTCTGCAGATTTGATGGGAGCTGGTTCCAGCAGTGTGCAGCAATAGTGCCTGAATGCCACTTCACCATGTTTAGTTTTAACTCTAGGCAACACCAGAGTTGAAACTAGAAGGTAAGAATGGAGTTATTTAAATAAAATGTATTCATGGAGAGAAATCGGTGTAATAAAAAAGAGAGGGAGGCAGAGAAAGACCAAATTTACAGGTGAATCAGGTTTTTCTATTTGAATTCACCTCTGTCACCTGGATACTGAAACAAATTCACATTGCACACACAACCAAAACACTAAACGTGTTCTCACAAAGCTTTTCCAGGCTAAATTAAAAAATTCTGTTGAAGGAAGACACAATGTTTGGGCTCATTGCAGGCAAATATTATTGTTGCTTTTTCCTCTTCTAAAGGCCAGAGATCATTAGAGTTAAAATCTGTCAAAATGACACCAGGAGATAAGCTCTGAGGTCATCTCTGTCAGTTTGACTGCAGTTTTAGGGCCGTGTGTGTGTGTGTGTGTGTGTGTGTTTGTTTGTGTGTGTGTGTGTGTCAGGGGCAGCAGACACATTGTATAAACTCATCATCGGATTACAGGTCTGTAATCTCTGCAATCATCCATGTGGCGGCATTTACCATCATCATCATCCTACTGACGCGTGCACGCACACACACACACGCACACACACACACACAATCCCCTCCTCTGTTTGTCATACGCAGCCTTGCAGCATCAAGGTTCCGCCATTTATCATCAGTCCAGGCAGGGTCAAATATTGGTTTTCTCCTACAGTATAAAAGTATGCCTTACTGTTTACATTTGTATTGTCTTATTATTAGCCTGTCAGTCATCTGTAAACCACTAATGTTAAAATGCAATGAAATATATTCTTTGTATCTTGTTTTATATTACACACACATGGATATAACAATATTAAATTGTAATTTAAAGTGTAACTACATACAGGGAAATAATTTGTCTTGTGCTGCCAACTACTGGTATCTCCATGCTTTTTGAACACCCTGTACAGTGCAGCACTTTAAAATTGCAGTTTAATGAAATGCTCAGCACAGCTGGGCATGGCCACAAATACAACAAACCACACATGATGACACTCACTCAACATTAGTGTTTAACAAATACAGATGTCAGTGGAGCAACACATTTCTTTGGTACAGCACATTATTATGGATGAGGTTTTGGCGAGTGTTTGTCTTTTTTCTGTTTAGCACACCCCTAGTTGAGCCCCTAGCCAGGCCCTTTACATAGACAAAAAGCATGTATTATAATATATTAAAATAAGACATGACATCATGCAAATAAAAATTAATGTCCACTGAGATTAGGCTGAATTACGTGATGTCAGTTTTGGATTCCCATCCTGCTGTTGTCCCAGCTGAGCTGGAAGGTCATTTGCAGTTCATTTGTTGCTGTGCAGATGTAGGGGATCAGGGGATGAGTGTACAATAACAAACTTGCAGCCTACAGGGATTACAGAGTGGTGTATCCTGCAGGTTATATTTGGCAGGCTACCAGTCATACTACGCATTGTGATCGTCCTGCTGAGCCGGCCAGGTTCACTGAGCTCAGTGCTGGTGTCACTGCAGGGATCAGTGCAGAGAAAATCCACTGAGGTTTCATAACAAAGTGCCAACAGCCAATCAAAGCCACTGTCAGACAGAGCTGCAGTGATAGCTCAGTTAATGCCTCAGCAGCACTGATACTCCAGAGATGAGAAGGGGAAACACAGAGGTTGTGATGTGTAAATCCATACAACACGCCTTTTCTTCAGCAGTTTATCAAATTTGCATTCATACTACAACCATTTGGTGCCAAACAAACTGCTTAAACCATTTATTAGTTACTTTTAGCTTTTTGTTGGTATATTTTGCTTCCTAGATTTCACACAGTCAGTCCCAACACTTGGTGTAATGCTGTCACAACTGATTCAGGTTAACTAACATGTTTTGTGGCAATAAATACATTATACATCTGGCTCACACGAACTTGTAATCCTAAATGTGCATTTGCATTATTTACTTAATAAACATGCACCGCTAAAACCAAACTAACAAATTAGCCTGAGTATATATATATATCACCTTTTTAAACTACTACTACTACTACTACTACTGAATTTTCAACTACTTAGCAAACTTAAAATGTTTGCTAAGTAGTAGAAAATTCAACATCCTGATTATCTGAAAAGAATTTTGAAAAACTATTATGTTGTATTATCTGTTTTTAAAGGACCTGCTACTAATACCACTTTTACTAATAATATTTTTTTGCAAAAGTCTGTAAATATAGAGTTGGAGAAAAACTGTATGTGGGCATGCAACCATATGCTACATAACTTATGAAATCTTTCATCACTATAAAAGTTATTATATTTCAACTCTCCTCTATTTCGGAGGAAGTTTCTCATTTCATTTAGTTAAACAAGAGTATTAATTTAGGACAAACAGAAAAAAACGTCGAGTCGGTCATTAGAAGTACTTTGAATAAAATGAAACAATAAAAAAAATTAGTGTACTAATGTAATTATTTTTGAGAGTATATTCTACTAGTTATGGTCTGTATGTTTACATATTTCTAACCGAATACACTTTGCAGCGTGGCCACACTTCTCCCCGAAGGCTCTGGCTCAAGACGTCATTACGTATTCCCGTTTGGGCCAATGACAGCGCAGGAGGTCGTAAAGCGGTCTCGCGCCGGGTAAAAGGGATTTGACAGTTGCAGGTCTCAATTCTTCAGTTGACTTCCTCAGTGGGACAGAGACCATGGCGGCGGCTGCTACCTGCGGCCAGCACAGCGTTGCGATTACGGCCGCTGTCAACGGCAAAAAACCGCATACTAACAGGGAACATAGTCGGAGGAACCGGGAAAACTCTCGCCGGAGACAGGCAGCTCTTTTGTTTCTCAATAACATCTCTCTGGACGGACGGCCAGTCGAGAGTAATTCAGCCGAGAATGGAGGAAGCCGCCACCAAAGAGAGACTGACTTGGAGGGAGCTGACTCCGGCTCTGCGGTGGCGGCAGCGGCTGGGCTGTGCCCGGAGCTGGTTAACAATAGCAGCTACGGGACATTCTCCAGTTTGTCAGCGTCCGTGAGCTGCGGGAACGTCAACCCCTCCCCTGCACCGAGGACAGGACTCCTTAACGTACCGCCTATCCTCGTCCTGCCGTCGGACACGGGGTTCGACGATGCGGGGAGCGCGGAGGTGCTGCTGGGGTGCCGCAGAGGCTCGTTCCCTTCACCGGGGAACAGCAACCTGCTCTCACCGTCCCCGTCTAACAACAGCCTGATGCCGTCGCCACTGGGACCGCGGAAGTCTTCGACACTGCTGTCAGTTCAGAGCTGTAACTCGGTGTCCTCGGAGCCGAGACAAAGGTGAGACACACGGCTGTGTTTGTTCTTTTATCGAGTGTTTCATTTCAGCCAGTCAAATTTGCATTTTGTGGCTGGTATTTCCCTTGAAACAACATGGCTAGCTTGACATTCTCAACGTTACCTGAAAGTTGAGGGGGGAGATTGTCATCGGCTCCCACCATCGGCAGACTGGAGCTGGACTGTTCGATCCAGTTTAACTTTTGTTCTGAGTATTCACACTTGATTAGATGCTGTTAATTACTTGGCTCTCAGTAGTTTGTAGTGTGATTCCAGTGACTCCCTTGTGATATTAAGGATATTTTTATTTCACAATCCTTTAACTCCCTAGAATTTAAAGGAAGTCAAATAGGTTGTCAGTGGTTGTGATGCAACGTTTCTCTGTTTTAACTTTTTTCGTTGCCTCCCTGCCTGGAGGTCATTGTGCTCTCACGACATTTACTGTGGACATGTAGATGTCATGACCTTCAGGTAAGTTGTGCCAAACCCTCACCAGAGTAAATGAAGTACATGACTAATACCAGTTGACTTAGGGAGGAAGCTGTGTAGATTGTTAAAAGTCAAGGACCAACTGTATCTCATAGCAGCTACTAGATATTTTCAAGACTTCATATCAGCTTTTGTTAAGGATGGTTGTGCTGACTTGTGCTCATATACCTTGATGCAAATTATAGAGTAACTGTTAAACAACCAGGCTTGGAGCCTCCATAAATACAGACTGAATTGTGTCTATAATATTGCCTATAGAAACCTGTTGGCACTGAATGCTTGGTCGGGTTCTTTTAGTCTTGTTTAGTTATTCTAGTCTCATTTTATTGTGTAATTTGTTTAGACAAAGTTCAGCCAACAATTATCTTCATTTGTAATTATCCAATCTTTATTTTTGATTAATCTTTAAGTTTTTAAACAGACAGAAAATAAGTAAATCTGAAGTTGTCAGAGCCCCAGGTGTCCTGTATGCATTTCTCTTTTTTTTTTCTGGCCAACAGGCCAAAATGCAAATATACTCAGTTTACAATTAAATCAAACAAAGAAAAGTAGTAAATCCTCATATTAGAGAAACTGGAACCAGATATTGTTTGGCATTTTGTGTGCTACTTGATAAATTGTTTATGTGATTGAGTTTATGCTAACTGACCAATTGATTGATTGACCTATAGTCTTGTTTATGTATTTTTTGATCAGATATTTTCTGATTTGAATTATAATATTAACTCCAGTTTTTTTTATGCAAAATCCTAATTGTATTAAGGTGTGATTAAATACTAATGCATTTGACAACTTAAGTGTATGTTGTTATAAAAACAATTTGCAGAATAATGTGTTTAATACTCATCAAAATAAATATTGTTTTGGTGTTGGTACCGATACTCACTGCCAATACTGTTGAGGTAAATTAAACAATGCACAGGTCTATGTGAACCATAACCTTAAATTGTTTATTCTCTTTCAGGGCTCTAAACTAAAAAGCATCTGTGAGCTGCAGATCCTCCTCTCAATTAATCTTATTTGATGTGAAATAGCATAAAAATAGCACCACCACTAAATAGTATCTGCAGACCCAGACTGGTCTTTTTGAACTTGAAGATTTTTGGTATCTCTTAGTAAATAAAAAAAAAAAAGTATCATATATAATGCAGGAAATCTGATCATAGGTTTATTCTCAGCTGTGTTAGTAACTTTGAGCTTGGTTGCATTTGCAGTCTACTAGTAAACGGCACTTTAACAGTAGGACCCTGGTGGGAGAAGCTTTTGGCTTTGTAGAGGGGAAGTGAACCCACAGACGGTTAAAAACCACCAACAGACAACATAAAGTCAAGATGTGTTCTGTGGCACAGTAACCCAGAATCATTTTCACTCACTGCCGTAACTCTGAGCTGGGAGTGGGAGAAACTGGATGGATTGATGAGATGAGAAAGATGCAGTAGCAAGAGAATAAGAGATTAATTTCTTAAACAGCATGAATGTGGCTTTTATAAGGAAGTGAGTGACAGCGAGTGTGTGTGTGTGTGTTTATGGAGCTTACTCATCTGGCAGTAGTTCAGACATGCTGTGCTTGTGTGAGGGCTGATGGATGGATCAGCTTCGTCACCATGTTGGCAGCATATCAAACCCGGGAAATGTCAGCCCTGCAAGCGATAAACACTGCTTAACCTATTTACACGTAACAACAGGCTGGGAAATTAGCAGCAGATAACAGCTCATCAGTCAGACTGCTGCGCCAGCCACCAACCATCATCTGCAACTCCTGCTTTATGACTTGATTTTGTTTATTTACTGTAATGTTGCACTAATAGTATTTCATTTCATTTGTATTTCATGACAAAATGATTCTTGTCAGTATTAATAATAAGGAGTGTAATTAAAAATGGTTAAACAGTTTTCATTTATTATTTCCATCATAGATTCATTTATCAATGATTTTTTAAATTGATAAGGTCCTTAAATGGCAGAAAGAAGTAAAAAAAGAAGATAATGCCCCTCACAAATTCCCAAAACCCAAGTTGACATATTTAAGCAGCTTGTGTAGTCTGAGCAGTAGCCCAAAACCCAAAGATATTTAGGAAAAGCAGCAGATATTCAGATTGAGTTGCTGGAATCAGTAGATATTTGGCATTTCTTCTCAATAAAAGATGATTGATTGACTATCAGAATAGTTGCCGAAGAATTTTCTGTTGAATGATTAATCATCTGATCATTTCAGATCGTAAAAAATCAGAGAAATCACAGGTTTAGTGGTCAGGCTCTCTGGATAATTACATCTTGGATGTGGATTTAAACTGTATTGAAATTTAGAAACTTATAATATGTCATATATTCCTTATATCATGAGTTCTTTTGTTTTCCATAGGCTTTTCACTACTTTCAGGAAATCATATAATTTCAGCTCTGTTTGCTTTAGAAGAGTAACGCTCCGTAACTGTGCCGCAAAGCACTCAGCTGCATAGTGTAATGATGTCTCCAAATGATTGCAGTGATTATTAATTGATGGTGAAACACTTTTTTTTTTTAACGCTTGAACAGTTGCATAATTTGCAAGAACCCAGTTCTCTATGGAAGTCATTAAACTTTCATCACAAACCTGCTGAAGATCCAGTCGGCTGGGTAAAGAGTGAAAGTGTGTCGGGATTTTTTGGGATGAACGAGCTGCTGTAGCTGGTGAACACACAGTTTCCTGTGCTGACAGCTATCTGGGACTTAAGTGGCTGAATTTAAATGCAGCCTTCTCCTCACCTCCGCACTTCCTGGTGTGATGAAGTTGGCCGTCATCAGATGAGATCATCAGTCACACTCTGTTTAGCCTCTCTGTCTGTTAACAAGGCTCAGCATGTGAAGCCCTGCCAGCCAGCTAACCAGCCAGCCAACCCGCTTCATTAGTCTACTGAGTTAACACACACACATATACACTCAGTGACACATATCAACAGTTCAGCTGTTTAACTGATGCTCTTTTATACAGTGAGTGAAGACACTTGGCTGGTAATGTACACACTTTGGCTGCTGACGGCACTGATGTGACTACAGTCGGTTACAGTTTTGATTCCTCAACCTTCACTGTGTCCAAAGAGACGTCTGACTCCTGGACAACTTCTGTTGGGTTTAACAGACATTTTCTGAATAGTGTGGTTAGTTCAGGCTAGTGTTTGTTTGTAATGATTTTTTAATGCAGTGTGTTTTTATTGTGACATTCTGTGTTTTTAATGAAATTCCTCAAAGACACAGTATGTCATTTTCTGCCGCTACAGATTTCTCAATCAAAGCAATAACAAAAGATGGCGTTCGATGACATTGTGAAGTAGCATGGGATCATGGGAGTTGTTGTCTTCACCACTATCGCTGTCATTGCAGTCAGCTGCTCCTAATTAGGATTCCTTCAGTGTCAGTCGTTCAGGAGGTCTTGGTGCTACTGGAATTATCTACAGAGATCCCTTCTTAGCCGAAACAAAAAGACCAAACAAAAAGTGAATAAGGCAGTTTCATGTTAAAAATCGTCCCGGACGGGCTGAGAGTTTACTGAGAGACGAGCTGCTGCTCACGTTTGCTCACCTTGTTTCTCTGATAATCTGATGACTCAAATTCTAAATCCAGTTCAAATATATAGTTAAAAAAAGCCAAGATCTAAACACTGGATAAAAAGTCAATTTTGGTGCTTCTGTCAGACATCCTCAAATCTCATGCATACTAAAAAGAATTATTCTTTCAGTCAGTCTTTTGCGATGTGTTTATTGCACATGTTCATATCATGATGACGATGAATGTAAGATTATTTATTCAGCACTAGTATTAACATGCGTCTTCAATGATCCAATCACAAGTGGACAGCTCTAAGTACGTCAGTTCACACCTGACTCTAAAATGCGTCTCCACATGCGTCTTGATTGACCACTTGTGATTGGATCTCACTTCCCCGCTTTTTATGCAAATAACCCCTCTGTGCCCCACTCGCTGTCTCTCTCACTCGCTCGCTCTCACACACACCATAGACAGAAAATAAAGAAGGACGTAGCCACTGTGACGTCACCCATAGGTTTCTGAAGAGCGGTTTTGAAGCTCAGAGTGGGCCGTTCTGTCATCGCCATCTTGCCAGTACCTGACTCCTGCCAAACTCCTGGCTAATCCAAAAATGGCAAAGAGGAGGGGCGGGTCTTCAGTGCATGCCAGTTTGTGGCAAACATACGATAGCTTCACCCGTCTGTCACTCAAAGCATCACACCCTCAATTAATAAAATTTAAACAAATTAGTTACATGAAAATTCACCCCCCATACATTTGTCATGAAGGAGGAAATTAGCCGTAGAGACCAAAACTGTTTTTTGCACCAGGCTGTAAACATGTTTATTTCTGCTGTAAAGTTGGGTATTTAACATGGGAGTCAATGGGGATCGACTCGCTTTTGGAGCCAGCCTCAAGCGGCCATTCAAAAAACAGTTTTTGGTACTTCTGTGTTGGCTTCATTTTTCAGACTCGAAGTTTGCTGCTTGACACACACACACACACACACA